TTTTGTTTCATTCAGATAGCTAAATTTAAAAACTTGCCAGTCATCTGAGTTAGACTTTAAAATTTTAATTATTTAATTCTCAGTAGGGATATCTAATTCAAAATGTAAAAACTGAGTGGCTATTATTATAAAACAAATAAAACAAACAAATCTAAACAAAAAAGAAGCTTTAATAATAATCTTGTGAGAAGAAGATCAAAATTATATGTGTAGATAAGGGGTAATAAATGTCCAAGTTAGTTATACCTAGAATTTTAAGAAAATGTGAAAGCAAAACTGCACAGCCAGGAAAAATAAAAATTAAAGTAGATCTCTGAGGAAACCCAGGCAAAAAAAAAACAAGGACGTTTTTACATAGAGTTGGTGTTAGGAAAGTTAAAGAAAGAAAGAGAGAGAAAAAACCCCCAAAAAACAAGCATACCAATGGTATAATAATGAAGAAATTATGCAGGAAACCTGGGAGACAAGCTGGGTGAAAAACATGAAGCTGTGAAGAAAGGCCCTGCCCTGAGAAACTCTATCTTACTCCCTTTACTGGACTTAGAGGGAGCAGCAAAGGGACCAGGGACTTAGAGTTTGAGGGAGAGGCCATCACCTCTTTATCACTGACTAGTTCATTTAAGAACAATTTATGTCACAATAATCATTATAGATATACTGAGGGAACACGCAATAAATATAAGGATCACTGGACTCACTACTAATTCACATAAAAAAGATCAGAAATCTATTCTTAAGGAAAGGTTGTCCAAGGAAATCAAGAAATGGAATTAATAGAAACCATCTTCCCCTTACATTATTTGATATTGCTCAAACCATTTCAGATTTTGATGTCTAGTTGTAAGTGTTCCATATGCTTCTATCTAAAAAATGTGGTCTACATGGCCATTGTGCCAAACATTTGTAAGACACAAGAAAAACACACACAGAGAACTCTAATCTCAGCACCTCGATATAAATATCAATACTATTTTTGGCATACATATTTCCATTTTTTTCCTTCTGAAGTTTGTATGAATTCGCAACCTTAGATGTACTAATTTAGATGTACCAATGTGGAAGGCAAGATTTTGGCCCTCAGGAGCTGCATGCCCTGCTGTTACGCCTTTGATTGTTGATACTTCTCACTGCAAAAAGAAATTAAGGTTGCAGATAGAATTAGATGGCTAATCAGATAACATTAAAACAAGGATTTTCCTGGATTAGCTGGGTGGAAATGGAAGTGAAAAGGAAGTCAAAGAGGTGTTTATGGGGAAGAGTCAGGAGAGATTTGAATCGAGAGGGACTCAACCTGCCATTACTGGCTTTGAAGATGCTGGATGGGGGCCATGAGCTGGAAGGAGTCCAGAACATGCCACTCTAAATATATGCTGTTCTGGCGTATTGGCCATTTTGTGTTAAAGGCACTTGAAAAACAGCAAATACAAGAAAAACACTCTGATCCTCCTTATTTTTCATAAAAGCAGGCGATGAAATTCCTATACAGAAAATGTCCTTTTTATACCATAAGGAAAGTACATAGTAATTATCAAGGACAGGAAGTTGAGATCAAGAGAATTCTGTACAAACAGACCTTGTTAAAATAATTCTTACCTTCCTTTAGCCTGTCCACATATTGAGTCACTTTTCTGCAGTTGCCTTTGTTCTACCTAATATAAAAGCAAATTAGTTTCACAATTTCTTTGGGTCTTCATGCCTTATGAAGACTTCCATATCACAAAAAAACTTGTGTTAAATAAATTTGTATGGTTTTCTTCTGTTGATCTGTCTTAGGTCAATTTAATTCTGAAGCTCAGACAAAAATGACCCTAGTTTAGTAAAGGTAATGGTTTGTCTTCCATGGTGTCCGCTAGAAGCTGGGAACTGCTTTCTGATAATAGCCAGCAAGAAAATGACAACCACAAGGAAACTGAATTCTGCCAGCAACCTAAATGATGAGCAAGGAAATGGATTCTTCCATAGAGCCTCCAAAGGAATGCAGCCTGCTATCACCTAGATTTTAGCTGTATGGGTGTGTGTGTGTGTGTGTGTGTGTGTGTGTGTGTGTGTGTGTATCAGATTCCTAACATACAGAACTGTTAATACATATGTATTGTTTTAAAAGCACTAAATTTGTGGTAGTTTGTTAGAGGAGCAATAGAAAAAAATATCTTTTGTTATAACATGTTATATAAAGAAATGTTTTATCTTTATTTAAATAAAAGTTTATTTAAACTTTTATTGAACACCTTCATTCTGTTGGGCTGGCAGGGTACTCAGTCCCAGACACTATTTTTTTTTTAGCTGAGCCATCCTGCCACCTGTTGGCAGCTCAGCTCAGGCCGTGAGTGGAACCGGCGACCCTGTTGCTCAGAGCTCGCACTCTTGAGTGAGCTCTTAACCAACTGAGCAACTTGGCCGGCCACCCAGAGACTATTAAAGCCCTTTCCTCTACCAGTGATATGCAAGTTCCCAAGGATCTTACCATGTGCCAGGTTAACCTAAAAATAAAAGGTCAAAGTGAGAAGCAACAAGTGTTTGAGATCCAAAACAATAGGTATTTGGGAAGCAGTATTTTAGGGAGAAATAGTGTACCAATTAGGAGGGCATTTATGAGAAAGGGAAGGGGAAGAATTACATAAATAGAAGGAATTTCTGTAGGTACAGATAAACTAACCCAGTGATACTAATTCTAAAGAAGGTCTTTAATTTTCAGTCCAGCGGTCATAGTATCTTCTTTCTTGTTATCTTTGCAAACAGTTATTTGGGGGTACAAATTTAGGCCCAGTCCAAGGATTATTTTGACCAGTTTTAACATAAAGGTCTGTTCCTCTAAGATGGCACCTCCAACTCCATTTGAAAGTGGCTCCATTTGTATTATTTTTCACAGCAAAAGCATCAGGGAGGACTCTTGGACCTTTTGTCATCATTTGGTACCAATGAGATGCCATTGTTCCTGCCATCGTGATCTCACATATTCTGGTGGTAGCAGCAAGATCTTCACAAGGCTGAGAAACCTGGGTCTAGGACATGGGGGTGGGGTTTTGGTTGTCCTTTGTCCTTTTCCCAGTTAGGAGAAATCTTCATTATCCATCCTCACCCCTACACACACACACACACACACACACACACACACTCAGGAAAGAATCATAATGGTCTTGTTAGCTACTAGGAGTTGGGAGAGAAATTAACATTTCAAAAGATCACTTTGTAACATTCCTACACTGGTAAATTGGTTGTATTCCTTAAAGAAACTTTTGCTCCCCTTCTTGGTGTCTTGGCATTTCTGAGGTTGGGTCACTGGTGGTCTTTATTCTGCTACCAGGGTCTGTCCCAGGCTGATAGTCTCACATAAATTAGCCGCTGGCCATGTGGGGGATACATTTCCTTAGGCTTTCAAGGTCAGGGTTCGTAAACCTGGATATTGGGTGAATTTCTTGTTTTCCAGAGGGGGAAACTCTTTTTTCCCCCAACTCTGGCTGTCTCCCTCTTACATGGGAATTTTCTTTGATTCTGGTCAACCTCTGGGAGAATGGGCTATAAAGAAGCACGGATGGAGCAAGGGGTCCCTTATGTGTCTATGGCAAAATCCTAGGCAAGAGATGATGGGGGCTTGAACCAGGGCAGAGGTAGTAGGAGAGAGAAACGGTTGGATTTCTAATACTTTGAAGGGGAGAGCCAATCATCTGACATGGGGTGTTAAATATAAGGAATGTCAGGACTCATTTGCCTTCACATATCTCATAATTGGGAGTCTGGAGGGAACTTAAATGACTTAAGAGAAAATTTCACACATTGAAACTAGAGAACAGTTTAAAGGTTATCACATGAAAATTTAATTTTGGTAGTTAAAGAGTTGGTTCTCCAAACTAAATCTGCAGTCAATATTTCTTTATATTCTGATTATCTTCATTTCTACAGTCTGGGTTTTGATTATCTCCCAAATCCTACATCCATTACCAGGTGAGTGTTTTAGCCTTTTCCTCTTCCTCCCTCAGAGTACTCCAAAAGAAATGATGGGTGCTCTTTGCAGAGGGATGGAATGCAAGATGTTTGAAAACAATAGCCCTGTATTCTATTCACAAGCTTGATTTTCAGGCAACCGAAAGCCTAATAATAGTGAAACAAACACTTTAAGAAATACAATATTGGTCTATTACTGTGAGTGATAAATCTATTGTATTAAGAAGTAATAAAGTAGTAATAAATGAAAAGAATCAGCATCCATTTGGGCACGTAGTCTTTCGACTTTCATTCTAGGTGGAATTCATTTTGGCTTTTAAAAAACTGCAGGCTATACGGCTATTATGCAGGAGCTGTAAAAACTTGGGCAAGGTCGTTCTCTATGGCTTTGTTTTCTCATCCATATCTCAGCCCTTCTATTGCCTCCTGATCTTAGGGGCCTCCGACAATTTAAAAACCTCATTTAACAATTAATTGGTGTCTACCGTAAACTGTATGCTTGATGCCATGGGGAAATACCAAGTACAAGATTCAGGACAGATTCCTGCCCTTCTAGAGCAAGAAATGTGCACAGACAGACAAGAGTGAATCCAATTTTCAGTCGGTAGAACCTCTCCTGCGTTGGTCTTTATCACGTACATCAGCTGCTGCAACTGCCAAGCGCATTTACACAGCTAATTTTTGAAGTGTCTTGTTAAGGCGGAGGATGCAGAATTCCATCTTATTTTCACCTGCAAAGAAGTGAAATTAAGGAAGGTTTATTCTGGTTTGCTACCTGAGGTGTTTACAGACGGGATTGATTCCTTTACCTGTCCCAGGGACGCTAACCTAATCTCACCTGCTCCCCCAAAGAAGCCATGCTTTCCTATCAGGTTCTAGGTGAAAGGTCCCACTGGCCACTGATTAATGGGCTCGTTTCTTCTCCCCTGCGGGGCGGGACCTCGAGCATAAGCTATGGAGATCCGCCCCCGTACGTTGCGTGCGTGCGTGGCGCCGTACGGTGCGAGCCGATTTCTGCAGCGTGTGGCGCCCTCCGGCGGCAGAGGGGACTTTGTGTGAGAGCTAGACTTGAACGCCTGCCATGGAGCCGCAGAAAGAGGCCCGAGCAGCCAGGGACCCCGTGGCGTGGCTGCCTGCGGCCTCGGCATCTCAGACGCCCAACGAGGAGGAGCGGCGGGAGGACGGCACAGCGCCACCGGCGTCTGGTCTGGGCGAGGAAGCCGACGGCGCCAGTGCGGACGGGCTATGGGAGCTGCCAGTGGAGCGGGCGGAGCGGAGGCCCGAGTGCAGCCGCTGCAGGTGACTGCGGGGCGCGGGGCGGGGACCAAGACCCGAGGCGGCCTTCGGAGGAGGCTGCAGCGCCCCCTGCCGGGAAGGCGGCTGCTGCGACTTCAGCCCGGGGAGCGCTTGCTCTGGCATCTCCGCGGTTAGGGCGGTGGTGGGTGCGCTGGTTGACCTTGGGATAACCGAAATAACTTGTTACAGCAGTTCTTTTGTAACAAGCCATTTATCCAGGCTCATAATTATTTAGCTTCTTCCTGCACCGAACGTGTCATGTGATGAACAGATGTAAGTTCTGCTGTCAAGAAACTTAAGAATCTGATGGGGAAGTAAGGCTTAATGGCAATACCTGTAATAGTTAATTAACACTTTTATACTTAAGTGACATAGTCATCTCACAAATAAAAAAATATGCGTTAGAGGAGAGAGAGGCAATCAAAGCGGCTATTACAATAGGTAGGATTGTATTCAGAAATCTGAATTCACTTGGAAATATTTATTTAGCACCTACTGTGTGCCAGGCACTGTGCTGGGTCCTGGAAATGCGTGCATGGATAAAACAGACTTTGCCTCTGCCCTCCTTGGGGGGCATTTACAGTCTAATGAAGAGACAATTTATGAAAAAATCAATACCACCAACAATTAACTAACATTATTGAATACTTACAATGTGTCCGATTGTTTAAGTGCTTTTCAAGATTACCTCATTGTGCTGATGGTACTTCACGTTTCTGAGGATTGCTTTTCCTACTTGTTTGAATCTCATGCTATTCAGATACACTATTCCCTTTATCTCCTGGGTGTTCAGGATCATTTTCCTTGCTTATGAAGGTCTCCATCTATCACCTATCTCTCTGTTGCCCTTCCCAATTTTAACTATTTGATAGTGCCTCTGTTCCTCACCTTGCAACCTGCAATTTGTCTTCAGATTCTACACTGCCCTGAAATGGGGCTCACTAGAATCACCAGTAATTTTCATGAGATGAAATCCAGTGGATCTTTTTCTGTTCCCTTTTTACTAGAACTCTTCCCAGCGTTTTTCAGTTGAATACTTACTTCTTGAAACATCCTTTTTCTTTGACTTCCCTTTGGTTTATCTGACTTCTCTGCCCTTGTCTTCTTTGCCTGTTGGGCTTCTTCAGGTCTTGATTCTAGATTCTCGTCTCGCCTAACCCCACACACTTCTCGCAGGTGATCTTACCAGTTTTCATGGGTAAATTAATAGCACCTCTCCCCCAATATCTGTAGCCCATACCCTTCTGAGCACCGGACTTATGCATTCATTTAACCAGTGTTTAGTGAGTGCTTTGGTAATCACTGGTAATGCAGTGGAATCAGTGTCCATATGGAGGGTTCAGTCTGTTATAATACGAATACTAAACCAGTAAACAAGAATCCAAATATGTAATTACAGATTGGGGGGAAAAAACCCCAAAAACAAAACAAACAAACAAAAAACAGCCATAAAGGAAAAAAAATGGGATGCTATGTTAGGAAATAGGAGGATGTTGTTGGGAAGGATTTCTGAGGAGATAGCATTATATTGAGATTGGAAAGATGGGGAGGATCCAGCCAGGAGAAAAGAATTCTAAGGGAAATAGTGCAGACTGGTTGAATGTCGTCACTACTTGAGTACTTGGAGTATCCTACGGTGAACATCTTAACTTTTTCCCAGGGCTGGATTCTAAGACCTCAGAAAAAGTGTGTTTTTTTTAAAAAAAAAGATTTTATTGGGGAACTGGGGAAGGGGAACAGACAAGTTGCTGTCCTTTTGTTCTTCAGTCTAGTTGTGGAGGACGTTGCTTCACTGGTCCATGTTGGTATTATCATTGCATTCTTTCCAGGAGAGGCAGTTGCTCGCCGGCCATTGGATGGCCGCTCATGGCAGCTCACGCCCACTGCCAGCCAGCCCCACTGCAGGCTACGCCGTCGCCATAGACTCACGGCAGCCCAGCTCCAGGTCGAGCTGTTGTTCACCATCTTAGCTGTAGAAGGTGCAGTGTCACTGGCCCTCTTATGGATTCTGAACTGGGGCCCTGCTGCTCAGAGCTGGCGGCCCAAGCCAACTCTTAACCAACGCATCACTTGGCTGGCCCAGTTTTGAATGTTTTTAAATTACATTTACACATTCGTATTATTTTGGTTATTGTATGAATTTTTATTTGAACATGTAATGGGATACATTACTTTTGTATGAGTAAATATTGCATTGAAAGTCACTCAGGAGGAAGAAAATCCACCATGCTACTTTGCTAAGAAGTCTCTGTCTAATAAATGGGTAGGGGCAAAAGAACTAAGGAGAAAACAACGCTAATATTTATCGCTTAAGGGACCTAGACAGAGGGAATAGGTTCAGATACGTAAACCCGTTTTTTCTCAAGATGATTAAGGGGAAGGACTGAAAAAAAATCTGTAATTTCTTGGAGCCCCATCACTGGGAATTTGGAAGGCCTGAAAGAGATTGGCTAGTAGACAGAGAGCGTCATATGTGCTTCGATTTATGGCAATGTTTTCCAATGCCCTTGCTCCTTGCAGTAATGGCAAAAAGTTGGAGTTCTCTGGTTACCCACAGGGCCACTCGTTTCCCACGGCTGAAAATCAGATGTCTTGGCGACTTTGCTTTTAGGCGGCTCGTCTAGGGTACTGGCAAGTTCATTAGCCAAAGTTACCAATTCTCGGGTAGGCGTAGTTCCCCATCCCATCCTGGATCTCTTAATCAGGACGGAAAGGTTTTTATTTAGCTCATTGACAAACAAGGAATTAAAAACTGTCCATGTGTGGCCAGCATCAGAAGGAAGACCGAAATTTTCCTTAAAAATGACCTGGAATCTTTAATAATAGTCATGAACAGATTTGCCAGGCTTTTGTGAGCAAGTGTGAATTTTGTTCCAGTCAACAGCCTTTGGAAAAACCTTGGGAATTGCGCAATGCAGCTTTCAAGCAAGTTCCCTGGCTTCCTGCCAATAATTGGTGGTTTGTTTTTTTAAATCCCTTTCAGGATGTTCCCATCTGGCAATCCTCATCCAATGTTTAGTGTGGCCTTCACGAACCAACATATGGATCAGCTGGTACAAATCAGAAAACCCAGGCTGATAAGCTTGAATAGTAATATCAAACTCCTTAGCAAACTTATTAGAATCCTCAGTTACTATAGGAAACTCCTTTACAATGGCTTGTAACTCAGCTTTTGTTAAATTTGAGACTCTATTTTGTAAACCGACAACTTTAGATTTGTAGTCCTGTTTGGCAGCTTCCATATACTACTCTAAATATGCATTCTATTCCTCTTTCTCAGTTACAACACTGTTACCATTCAATTTAGTTTTAAGAAATTCAAGTTTGGAAATCTCAAAAGTTCCCTAAAGTGGCCACTGATTTCTAGGATTACTCTTAGTCAGATATCCGCATTTAGTTGAATACGTGCACGAAAATTCTTTGTGGTTTGTGAGCATGTGCTCAGCTGGTGTCCCTGGAGGAGGGACAGTTGTAGGAGGCTTGGACATTTGAGACCCCATTTTAAATGCTGGGCCCAAAACAGTTCACAACTCAAATAACCTGCAGGTCTTCAGCCCACCTCACTCTGGAACAGTCTGATCACTGACAACCAGGAAGAAGACTAAAAGCCAGTTCCAGTCGAATAACCAACTCTTAGGGAGTTTAAGTTACAAGTTGAGCTGGCGCTGGGCCAAAATCAGTTCACAACTCAAGCCAACTGGGAATCTTCGGTTTGCTCCACTCTCACTCTGGAACAGTCTAATCACTGGGAATCAGACTGAAGGCTAGAGCCAGTTTCAGGCAAATAACCAACTCTCAGGGAGTTCGGTTATCGGCTGAGCTACGTGGCACTCCGTTAACTTTTCACTGAGACAGCACGATCTAACATCGGCTAAACTGACCAATTTCAGTAGAAATAACCTCTTATCCCAAATGGATGTTAGGTGAAAGCCAGTTTTTTTTGTCTCAAAAAAAGAAACAGCCTGCTTTCTGAAGAAAGCAAGCCAATGTGTCATGGGTAGGCCTTAACACATTCATGCACACACACAACAAACAAAACAAATGAAAGAAACAAAATGGAACAAAAAAATTTTAAAAATTCAAATAAAGTCTGGAGAGTGCCAGATGCAAAAACCCATTGGTTCAGATCTAGGAGAGAAAACTCACCTGAGGCTTCTAAGCCAGGGAGCAAAAGAATCGAGCAAGACAGCTCGGTTAGGCACCATGGTTTTTGCTCACAGGTCAGAAATCATCAGAGTTCTGTTCCTCTGGATCCCGGACGAGCCCACAAAATGTTGACTGGGGGAATTAACTCTTGAAGTAATCCACAAAAGAAAAGGTTAATTCGGGAAAAGGAAAAGAAGCAAGACCATTACCACAGTGTGAGAAAGCACACCCCCGACACGGGCTCCAACCAGCAGCCCACATGGAGGCAAAAAGACCCGGGTTCCAAGATGGCTAATCCCTTTATTATGATCCCTCCCCCAGAAATTACCATAAGGATAAACAGGAAGTCAGGATTACAGAGTTAACAAGGGGCCCAGCTCCACCCATAGTCCTCCTAACTCTATGATTAAGCATCTTAAAATTTCAGTTCACTTTATCAGATCAAAAACTACAATGGATGTTTTTTTAAAAAGTATGCCTCTTTGCTTTGAACACACTTATCCCATTGTTCTTGCCACTTTCTGAAGCAGTTCTCGAAGTCCTTTCGTGAGTGTCTTTAGTTGCGCTGTCATGGCTGCCTTGATGTCCTGAATCATTTTGACTTTGGGGAAGAGCCAGAAGTCACATGGTGCCAGATCTGGTGAATATAGTGGATGAGGACACACTGTAATATTTTTATTTAACAGAAATTGCCATACCAGAAGCGATGTGTGACACGGAACATTGTTATGATGGAGGATGAGTTACACCACACTTTAAAATACACCTTCTTTCAACTGTAGCTCACACCTGACTGACTACACCAAACAAGTTGAAACTTGTCACACACTGTTACTAAGGTTTGATGTGCTGCTTCC